ACAGTGCAATCTGTCAAAATCTTGAAGATGTTTTTTTCTTCTATTAATGCATTGAAAGTCTTGCAATGTTGAATCTGACTCAATACACATATTTGTAATTGTGACAATATTATAAAATTGTTAATTACTCCTTAACATTCATCCTAATATAAACAAACTTTTGCCCGTCAAAAACAAAAGATATAAAAGCACTCATCTGTTATTCTCAAACTGGTTCAAATATGTGGAAAAAGTAACTTTTGACATTTTTACAAAAATCATTAAAACTAAAAAAGATTTTCCATTTGGTAAATATAAAACATTTCCGCCCCTCCCCCCTTGTGACTAATCAAAATAGGCGACTGGATTAGCAGACCTAGGTTCTGTATGTGTCATCATGCAATTGGCCCATTCATATCCATCTATCTTCTTACATCCCTAAAGGCAAACGCATCTGCTTTGCTTACCTTCGAAAAATCGTCAATCTCTTATATAATTAAAGATCACTCCACAATTTAAAGCTGAGCTGTCAGTCATACATTCTGAATGATGTTTCATTCCTAACAGGGAATTAGTATCCTTAAACTAATTGCTGAATAAAATGGGTCTGGCAAGGGGGGGGAGGGGAGGGGACAAAGTAATTGCATATTTTTAATTATTTCCTTTTTCATTTTCTAAATGAAAAGTTAGAATGCTCTGAGAACAACATTATTCAAGAGAATCATGCAAAACAATAAAAAAATGTCTTAAAATAATAGTATTAATGTTTTATGCACTGTCTGAACAGTGGAGCAATAAAAAAGCACCTTGCAGGCATTGTGAAAATCAACTTCATTTGAAATGCAAAATCTTTAAATGTTTCAATAGACAAGTTTGACATTTATTGAGTAACGCTCACACAATCTGCAAATCTTGACAACCCCCGTGGTAAGCTTTTGGGAAAAAAAACTGTGAAGGAAAGTCTCAAGTGAAAACATATGTGCAATATCAAGACGGCTTAGAAAGTCAAAATTTTGTACAGAACGCATTACTAATATTAAGCTGAATTGGGAAACTTTATCGCACAATGGAACAGTGTGATAACTGGAAAAATGTAGAATATATATCATAACTTTTCACATAATAAGTCTGTCAGAAAATAATCTGGCAATAGGAATTTTGTTTCCCATCAAACAATGTATAACAATAATGCCATTATGATGTAGTCACAATCTGCTATTGTTTTTTTTTGTTCCAGCCTTTATATTCCACTATGTAAAATGTAAGTAAACCAGTCTACTGAATATAAATACCAGTTTAAAAACTGTGAACAGAATAAACCAATCAGCTTTGAGTATTTTCAGACTAAATATCTTCAGTTGAAAACGTTTTCATGACAGACAATTGAAATATAGTTAGGATAATGCATTTCGAATTTTTGCTAACATTTTCGACCACAACAACTTTACAAAAATCTTCAACAAGAGGGCCATGATGGCCCTAGATCGCTCACCTGAATTATCAAACTCATCCAAACAATTACCTAGACAAGCATTCTGACCAAGTCTCATGACAGGTGAGTCAAAAATGTGACCACTACAGTGTTAACAAGGATTATCCATATTTGAGCAGTGCGACCTAGTTTTTTACCCAGGTGACACATATTCAAACTTGACCTAGAAATCATCAAAACAAACTTTCAGACCAATTTCCAGGATACTTGGATCAAAACAGTAGCAACTAGAGTGTTAACAAGATTTTTCTATTTTTAGCTCCGGTGACCTAGTTTCACATGCGATTTCGAACTCATCCAAGCAATTACCTAGACAAACATCCTGACCAAGTTTGATGATAATTGAGTCGAAAATGTGACCACTAGAATGTTAACAAGGTTTTTCCATATTTGGGCGGTGTGACCTAGCTTTTCATCCAAGATGACCCATGTTCGATCTTGACTTAGAAATTATCAAAACAAACTTTCAGACCAATTAACAGAATATTTGGATCACAACAGTAGCCACTCGAGTGTTAACAAGATTTTTCTATTTTTAGCTCCTGTGACCTTGTTTTTCATCCGAAATGTCCAATGTTCGATTTATTCCCAGCAATGACCTAGACAAGTTTCCTGACCAAGTTTGATGACAATTGAGTCAAAATTGTGACCACTAGAGTGTTAACAAGGTTTTTCTATTTTTAGCTCCTGTGACCTTGTTTTTCATCCAAGATGACAAATGTTCGAACTCATCCGAGCTATCAACTAGATAAGCATCCTGACCAAGTTTGATGATGATTGATGCAAAAATGTGACTGCTAGAGTGTTAACAAGGGTTTTCTATTTTTAGCTCCGGTGACCTACTTTTTCATCCGAGATGACAAATGTTCGAACTCATCCAAGCTATCAACTAGATAAGCATCCTGACCAAGTTTGATGATGATTGATGCAAAAATGTGACCACTAGAGTGTTCACAAGGTTTTTCTATTCATAGCTCCGGTGACCTAGTTTTTCATCCGAGATGACCCATATTCGAACTCATCCGAGCTATTATCTAAACAAGCATCCTGACAAAGTTTGATGATGATTGGGTCAAAAATGTGACCACTAGAGTGTTCACAAGGTTTTTCTATTTTTAGCTCCTGTGACCTAGTTTTTCATCAGAGATGACCCATGTTCGAACTCATCCAAGCAATTGACTAGACAAGCATTCTGACCAAGTTTGATGATGATTGGTTCAAAAATGTGACCACTAGAGTGTTCACAAGGTTTTTCTATTTATAGCTCCTGTGACCTACTTTTTCATCCGAGATGACCCATGTTCGAACTCATCCAAGCTATCACCTAGACAAACATCCTGACCAAGTTTGATGATGATTGGGTCAAAAATGTGACCTCTAGAGTGTTCACAAGGTTTTTTCTATTTTTAGCTCTTGTGACCTAGTTTTTCATCCGAGATGACCCATGTTCGAACTCATCCGAGCTTTCAACTAGATAAGCATCCTGACCAAGTTTGATGATGATTGAGGCAAAAATGCGACCGCTAGAGTGTTCACAAGTAATTGTGGACGGCCGGACGGACGACGGACGACGGACGACGGACGACGGACATTCACCGATCCTAAAAGCTCACCCTGAGCAAGCTCAGGTGAGCTAAAAAATCAAAATTTGTAGTTTTATCATAATTTTAGTGTTCTCCTAATTAAAATTTAACAAACTGACACATTCTTTAACCTGTATTAACATCTTGACAAGATAATATGACATTTTAAATTCATCGGTCACAATACTGCAATGTCGAAAAGATTTTATCTACTTTAAATGGAAAGAAAAAATTACAGCAATCTGCACATTTGCCTTGTCATATGCAAAATGTGTTCATCTCACATTAATTTGAGCCTATTCAGCAGTAATAACTTATAAAACCAGTCTAAGACTCAATGCTATTTATTGGCTGATTCTGAATTTGAATTTAAAATTGACCAATGGTAGGGCTGCAATTATAGACTGTGTATCAAAACAAAATCAAAAGAGCAATAAATTCAGCAAGATCATTATGAAGTTGACAACAAGACCCAGCACTATGTCAAAACTGAGAAACAATTGGCATTTTGTGACTGAAAGAAATTGAGGCTATCAACTGATATTTTACCAACAGCCAAGCTAATCCCATTATATTTCTTTGTATATCATATTACAGCATATTTTCAAAATGATGACAAATTGTGGTCTGAATCATCTTCCTTTTTTGTACTAAGTGACTACATTGTCTTTATAGACAGTAATGTAAAATCAATGTAATGTGACACCAATAAGGAACTATGTGACACATACCAATGTTTTTTCTTGAAACATGGCAACAACTTCAACCTATTTTCAAAGTATTTTTTCTTCTATATTTTGTAGTTGTTTTATCTGACACTGATGATTATATCTAAATCCATGGAAAGTTATTTCAATCAAAATCTAACTTAAATGTTTTGTCAAGCCAAATTTAACTAAATGTTTGTTTGTATAGTTTTTACACCAATTTTGACAAATTTTTGTCTCATCTCTGTGGTCAGTCCACCTAACTAAGATTTCCTTGACAACTGACCAGTAAATGCCTATTTCTGCACAAGTGACCAACAACTGGTCGTGATTGAGAGACTATGACCATAATAGACTGGTAATGTTTGAGGTCAATTGTCATGGAAAAGTTAAATTCATAAAATATTCTTGATATGCTCTCATATTTTCATTTTAGCACCTGTGCTCAATTAAAAAAAAACAACCATAAACCCATAAATGCAACTTGTCTCAAATTTCCCTTGTAGGTAAATCAACCAATTAGTTCAGTTCATTTTTTATTATATCTACCAAGATAACATTCTTTCATAAACATTTCACACTTTATTTTATGTAATATTTATGGACGAAATGACATAGACAAGTTTACCATATCAAAACAAAACTTTTTCGAAAAAACTCGAAAATTTTTGCTCAACAAACCCCCGGGGATGATTACAAAACAGGGTTTCCCTGTTGCATGGAACAATTTTTAGACACAAAAAACCCCTTTGCGTGACAAAATTTTTTTACCCTTTTAGGGACTTTCTTTTCAAGGGCATTTTTAAAAAATTTTAGGGGCTAGAACCACACCTTCGCCTTAAACGATAAATAAAGAAAATAACTTAAAGCCTTGTGAGCACATTTATAGGGTAGAATTTATGTATTTTTACTTAAAAAATAAACAACATAAAAATGTCTTAATTGAAAAAACGTCTTTTTCATCTATTAGTCAGCCACTTGATATTACTAACAATAATTTTTCCTGGCATATTTTACCTAGGTCGAGTTATTTTGAGATTGCTAGTAAAGATTTTTTATACCATTTCACTTAAATTATTCTTAAATTCAAACTAGATCCCTATAAAAGGGGTACCCCAAACAGCATAATAGCTTGTTTAAAAGAATATCCACACCTTTATTGAAAATGACAATTCAAAATTGTTTCAGGAGGTATGTAAATGCCTGACTGACAAAAAATAACATTTTTGGTCAGCTTACCTGTGTCAACATCTGGGGCTTGGACTTGGACAATGCTGGTTCCCACAGTAACATTCTCTAAGATAGCCACATCATATATTCCTTGCTCAAACACTGGTGTATTATCGTTGGTGTCCTTGACATTGAAGTAAACCAGAACTGAGCTGGTCTGCGCCGGATTGCCAAAGTCATAAGCGTTCACCTGGACTGTGTAAAGCTGGTTCTGTCGAGATAGAAATATTTCAAAATCAATTAAATAACATACACCATAAAATTTAATGTGCCAAAAACATATATCATACTTCTATCATTTACTTCCTCACAATATATAATTTATAGAAGCAGTAACCCTGTCTGAAGACAACCAGTCAATGGAACTAAATAACATCAATCTTTGGTGACTGGTTTCAAGTTCTATTACTGGATTGGGTAGTTCAAATTCTAAATTCTGACCAATTGCAGTATCCTATCTTGAGATGATCTTTTCTCTGTTATATAACCATTTAACAAAACCTCTATATAGTTTGTTATGGTTTTCAGTACAATTCAATCATGAAAAAAGAGCAAGAGTTCCTGTCAATTGTAAAATTATATAAATTTTACAATCATTATATGAAAAGCTTAAAACCTTGTCAGTTACCAAAAAGGCTTACTTTCTACACAATGACTTAAAACAAGTGCTTTTAAACTTCATATTGATTTAAAAAAAGTTTGATACCATTTTCGAGCATTTCGTCAAATATACATCGACGTATAAGAGACGTTTTCTCAAGTACTAAACTCCTTCAGCAAAGATTAGCTATTTAAGCATTCACTTACATTACTGAATTTTTTTTTCTCTCTTCATCATGACAAATGAAAAGCTTCTAAAAAGCACCCCAGCATAAACTTTGACCACAATTATCATAACCCTACATTTTAGATGTAGCAGTCATACTGCAAATAGACCAGTTTACGTCATTCATTCTAAAACGGCACTCAAAAATTTTTTCTACCCATTGGACTGAAATTCACCTGGGCCACAAAATTACTGTTATCAGTTACATGTCATCTTATATTCAATTTTCATGCACAGAACTACTATGTAATTACAGATATTTAGGGATATTTTTACAATTACGCCATTTTACCAACAATTTGACAAAATACAATTACCACTCTTCAGACATATCATGTGCAACGATAAAGAAATTTTATATTTGTGCAACAGGACAGATAAAAATCAAACGATTAAAACCATAGTCCCATTTAAGCCCTGAGAAACTTTGCCACTGGAATGTTCAAAATAATGGAACATCGTGACTTTTATAGCTATACCATATCTATATTTGGTCTCACAATGTTAGTTTTTTCCAATTGTATTTTACTTTTTATTGACAAATTTGTTTTGACAATGTCAAAAGTATGTTAATGTTAATTGAGTAAACAGAAACTCCATGTTTTCTTCTCACAATTTTAATTACCTAGAGTTTTTAATTATGTTGCTGTTTTTATAAACCATTTTTCATGCTAACTTATTATAATTTGACAAGGTCAGATTTTACCTATGACCGAATGTTCACTAATACGACAAGACAGTTTACATAGTTCCTAAAACGTAATTATAATCTCATAGCCAGAACAAAGACTGTACAAACTGCAAGTGACATCAACATGTGACACGGGACATACTTAAGCCGATCTTTCACGGCGGGGAGGTTTTGTTAAAGCCTTGACAAGACACGTGAAGTATCCTACATGTTTGATAAATAGCACTCCGGTCATAGGTGGCAATTTTTATACAATACAATAGCATTAAAATACCTAAGTGCTTAAAATGCCATTATTTTACATACATTTTTTGTCCTCAATGAAAGTATAAAAAAATCTACTTAATAATGATTGGACAAAGTTGTTTTAAATACATAATCACTTTATCCTGAAAGAATAAAACCTGCTTTTCACACAACAAAAAAGTGACACTTCTTGTCCATTGTTTAAATGAATTGTTAAACTGACTGGAGCACTTTTCTTTGCCTTTTTCAGTACAAAAAATATATACAATGTATGTATAAAAAGTCTTTGTTAAAGTAACAAATTCAGAATGAATTAAACTATTTCAGGTACGTAATATGACAGTAACTTTTGCAACAGCTTATATAGAATTGTATCTTTTCTTTAAGCCTTACATTAAAAAAACCCAAAAACTTCATGATGAAATTGAAATTGATACTAAAACTAACAATATTTGCTACTAAACTCATACAAAAAAATATTCTTTAAAATTTTGAAAAAATAATTGAAGATGCTTGCATTTAAAAGTAACAGCCAGAACCTACATCTCGTACTTTTTTAACTACTCTAGAAATTTAACCAGTCGTGTTGATAAATGAGGAAACAGCCAGTTGGGCTCAAACCCACAATAATTGTGAGTTGAGACATTATTAACTATAAGACCAACTCTATCCATGACCTACAGCATATTTAATTACATAATAATACATGTGGACATAACAGGAAACATATCCTTATTGCACTTTTGTCTCACTTCAAAGTTATTTTTTTACACGTCTACATCTTTGTTCTGATTAAAAATAGCCCTGTCACATGTAGCATGTAATAAAAATAATTTTTATTGTAAACTGAAGTGTCTTTATGTTGTAATGAATAGGAAAAATCTTTTCTGTTTGCAGTTCTGATCGGACATTGACATAAACAATTATATACTGGTCTGTGCGGAATTTTATATTAATTTCTGCTGTTCGGTATATTTGGTTTTCTTATATATCAAGATCTCGAGGTAGAAGTACATTTTACATAAAATTCAGTCATCTAAAGCTCACTGTCGTCTGGTAAGAAAAACAAGAGCACCGCTAGGCGGAGCATTATATGCCCGAAAGTATTTTTTTTTTTAGTAAGGATGACCTTAACCGTTGACCTTTTGACCCCAAAATCAATAGGGGTCTTCTACCCAATATGGACAATCATCCTATGAAGTTTGAACATTGTGGGCCAAATGGAACTTAACATATGCTCCGGCAACTGTTTTCAGTATCAAGGTAATAGTGACCTTCACCTTTGACCTTTTGACCCCAAAATCAACAGGGGTCTTCTACCAATATGGACAATCATCCTATGAAGTTTGAACATTGTGGGTCAAATGGAACTTAAGTTATGCGTGGAAACATATTTTTCAGTATCAATGTAATAGTGACCTTCACCTTTGACCTTGTGACCCCAAAATCAATAGGGGTCTTCTACCCAATATTGGACAATCATCCTATGAAGTTTGAACATTGTGGGGTCGAATGGAACTTAAGTTATGCTCTGGAAACTGTTTTCAGTTATAAGGTAATAGTGACCTTGACCTTTGACCTTTTGACCCCAAAATCAATAGGGGTCTTCTACCCAATATGGACAATCATCCTATGTAGTTTGAACATTGTGGGCCAATTGGAACTTAAGTTATGCTCCGGAAACTGTTTTCAGTATCAAGGTCATAGTGACCTTGACCTTTGACCTTGACCCCAAAATCAATAGGGGTCTTCTTCCCAATATGGACAATCATCCTATGAAGTTTGAACATTGTGGGTCGAATGGAACTTAAGTTATGCTCTGGAAACTGTTTTCAGTTATAAGGTAATAGTGACCTTGACCTTTGACCTTTTGACCCCAAAATCAATAGGGGTCTTCTACCCAATATGGACAATCATCCTATGAAGTTTGAACATTGTGGGCCAATTGGAACTTAAGTTATGCTCCGGAAACTGTTTTCAGTATCAAGGTCATAGTGACCTTGACCTTTTGACCTTGTGACCCAAAATCAATAGGGGTCTTCTTCCCAATATGGACAATCATCCTATGAAGTTTGAACATTGTGGGTCGAATGGAACTTAAGTTATGCTCCGGAAACCGTTTTCAGTTTTAAGGTAATAGTGACCTTGACCTTTGACCTTTTGACCCCAAAATCAATAGGGGTCTTCTACCCAATATGGACAATCATCCTATGAAGTTTTAACATTGTGGGCCAAATGGAACTTAAGTTATGCTCCGGAAACCAAATTGCTAACGGACGGACGGACGTACGGACGGACGGACGGACGGACAGACGGACGGACGGACGGACGGACAGACAGACGGACGCCAGGGGGTATAACATAATATGCCCTTTCGGGCATATAAAAAAATCAAATGTAAAAAACCCATCCTGAGCAAGATCGAACTAAACCAAAATGGCCGACATACGCAGACGTATATCAATTTAAATGCCAAGGTCAAAGTTTATAAAGCAACTATATCAAAACATTAGTTGACTTGTTTCAATTAATCAAAAAAAAAAACTATACATAATTTATTTTTTAACTTTCATTATTTTGTATATTGTACCTGAAGTGTTATTGAAAGATGAAATAATATATGCCGACTAAACAAACAAATATATTGAAAATGACTAGTGGCGAATATTTTCCGGACCCCTCAAAGATTTTATCAGCGAAATATGAATAAAAACGTACAATAAATCTACATTTACTTTGTTATGTGGGGTATTCTTGTCAGCAGGAAAGAAAAATAAATCACTTCAAATACTGGAGTTGTCAAGCTTACCAACCAAAGTGTGAACAGAAAATTTGGGTCAATACAGTCTTGAAAATCTAATCATAAAATATATTCATAATATTCTCACCATTTGAATTTTTTTAAGCCAACCAATCTTAATTTAAATGGTATATGCATCTATCTTTAGTTGACGAATCGTGCTTCTATTTTTATAGGCTAAAGTGCCGTCTAGGAGGTAGATAATGACCCAGAACAAAAGTACGAGTGAGATTCTGACCCACTGGACAACAGTATCTCAGAATCTTGCGATGGCAAAATATTTTGGCAACTAATTGCCGCCCAACAGAGCAACCATGCAAGGTGAACATCCATTAATTTGGTCCGAATGTGCCCACTGACTTACAGCATGACACTAATGGCTGGAACAAGCCAATCGTTATACTGCAGACTAAGCCCGTGAGAGTGAATATGAGATAAACGAAAAATATCACATGGAAGAAAAGTTTGTTCTCTGAATATGACGAAACTCAGCTGGCAGAATGAATAAGCTGCGCCAGTTGCTTCGTAAAGACAAAAAAACATTCATGATTAATTCGATAAAACTATTAACACAAATGACGAGAAAGTGTGAAACGAAAACTGCAGATGTGCTGTAAAGTGGAATGCATACTGATATCCCCAAGACATGGTGTTAATTAATACATAAGACATTCAGAGTAAGAAACCTCATTTCTGCTGCAAAAATTGGTGCAGTCATTGCATAATGTATATAGCTACCATAACGCAGATTTCCACTTTCTCAGACTCTAAAATGCTTGAATTTTGTTTCACAAGCTTCCAAATAGACCAGATGCATGGACAGTACCGTGTCCAAGCTTTTAATTTGAAATTCCAGGCCTATAGGATAAAAATAAATCTCTCAAATGTTATAGTGGTTAGCTTTTTGTTGAAGTCTTTTTGTACTATTCTAATGATAAATTTAAAATCTATCTTTTTTCATTCAATCAACATCTTACAATGTACTCAAAATTGCAAAATTTAAACAAAAACTGTTACGAATCGGATCAAATAACAGGGTCTGTGGCAAGATAATCTCCTTTTTTAAAGGGAGACACAGGCAAAATTTTCATTTCTTAGTTTTTAATTTTTCATTTAGTATTCTGTAAATGCCCTCAAAATGAATACATTAGACAGTCAAAGGAACAAAACTTTTCTCCATGTAAAGAATAAAATGGTGGTTTCCTAACTTGACCCGCGTGGGTCAGGTTAGAGCGCCAGGATTTCAAATAGTTGTCACTGTGAACTCTGGAAACGTTAAAGAACATGTCAAATGAATGGCTTAGACTTGTTTCATTCATACAATGTCCAAAATATCTCTTATTGTAACTTCAAGGGTTTGTTTAAGCCACATGACTTGTTTTAAAACTATTTGGTGATTCTATTGGCGTTTAAATTTTGTTCAACATAAATAGATATATCTACGATTCAAACCCAAAATATATAGAATTTAAACAGAAATTCATGCTGGAACTTTAAGAAATGTCATTTTAGCGTGATTTGAGTACATAAGATCATTTTGATATTTTGTCATTATTTTGTCTGAATATCCCTTTAAACATATCTTACAAAAAAATCGAGAAAAACACATCTCAGATAAATATCTGTACCAAGCTGTTTTAAAAAAAAAATACTTTCAACAATTTCAAACAACTGAGTTCTCCCAAGAGCTCTAGATTTAGTAAACAGATTAACCAAATAAATTCCTCTTCATGTAAAAAATTTAAAAATGAATGTTATTTAGAAATACTGAGTTCCGAAAAGACCTTTTAACAAAACAAAACAGTCGAAAGCATTTTAAAATTTGAAAAGCAAAATAGCTTGTAATCTGAGAAAAATCTCCAATTTTGAACGAGCATATCTTTTCAAATTTTTGACAAAGAGATAGAAAACCGGATAAAGTGCCGTCTTACTGTAAGAATAAGATGTAGCCTAAACAGCTTAATCATCGACATTTTCGTCCATTAGTAAAATAATTCATGAAAAACTTTATGTACCTATCTATATATCTTTCTTATAAGTTCATTTATTTTTCATTTATACAAATCCTTGAAGTAGATATTTCTATGTTATCGCTTAATAGCATCGCTACGGTGTTTAAGAAAACGACCGATATCAGAAATTGAATATCAGTAAAAAAATCAATTTACACTTATACTTTTTTATATACTTTTGAAAGTGATTGAAATTATTTGCTTACTGATTCGGGATCACTGGCTATTTACATAGAGAGTTGATAATATGAAAATTATGTGCATTAAAATCTGCATCGTCATGATAAATGATAGTTATTAAAGCAGATGGAAATAGTTTTTATCTAAAAATTACAAATCATATTCATTATTCACAATTGTAACTTGCACTGATGCAATAGGAGCTTTTTTATCATTTAACTTTTCGGTTTGTTAATCTATATGTGAACTTTCTACTCCTGTTTCATAAACAACTTAAGTCATATTTATACTGTACACTTCATGTTCTAATTTATGCAAAATTATCTTAAATTACAAGATGAAATTACATACCTCTTCAAAATCTAATAACCGAAGAAGTGTGAACGTCCCTTTTTCAGCATCTAAGCTAAATGTGTCATTACCCCAACCGGAGGTCAGCGAGTAGGCCACACGTCCATTTTCACCTTCATCTGGATCATATGCCCGTATACTGCCAACTGTCGTATCTATATCTGTATCCTCCAATATATCAAAGGAGTAGAATGACTTGGTAAATTTCGGGGCGTTGTCGTTGACATCCTGTACGTTTATTCGTACCATGCATGACGATGACTGAATTCCATCTGTTGCCGTGACTCTGAGAGAATACTGCTCCGTTACCTCTCGATCAAGAGGGCCTTTTGTTACAATTGTGCCTGTAAAATGTCAAAACAACATATAAATAACATTTTGTGCAAGAAGGGCTGTCAACAAATTATATATCAATAAATTTTTAGCAATTTTTAAAAAGTTTACCATCTACCATTAATGTTGGGAATGGACAATAAGTTATTATCATTAAAAGAGTCAAAATACAAGAAACACTTTTGGACTTGTATCAAATGGG